TTTATTTAAATATTTTAAATATTAAAAAAATAGATCATAACTAAATTTATGCTATTTTTAAGCTAAAATTGTTACACAAACTCTACAGCTTAAGGGATAGTGAGGACTTCATTATAACGAGAATGAGCTGTATGTGATTTTCTAATTGATTTACAGAAAATTAATCGGGTAGCGGTGATCTGATAAATAGGAGCTATATGAGTAGTGATGCAAAATGACTCTGCAAAGTTGTAGATGAATTAGCTTAACTAAGCTATGGTTCAGCTTGTATTATATGGAGCCAATTTAGAGCTATGAGCCGATTACATTATATGCTATAAATATAGCTAATTACTATTATAAACTTTTGTATTAATAATAAACTTTTGTATTTATAATATTATACAGAAGGGTCACCAAAATTCCGGGTCGGGATACCTCAGAGTATATTGGCATTATTGTCAGCTAGATTGAAATTTAGTAAACTATTTTTATAAATATTTTGTTCCTTCCAAATAGATCTTAATGTTTCTTTCTTATATTAATTCTCAAAACTCATTAGAGCTCTTTGCAGCATATACACCTTTTTGAAAAATGCATACAAGCTCTTATTTGTATTGGCTCATGGTTGAAATATGGCATTAAGTTTTGAAACTAAATAATATGTTTTTATACTATTGCTGCTTTGCACATTCGCAAATTATTAATTACTAGAATATTTTTACACGTATTAATATTAATATACAGGTACAATCTCTGTGATTTTTAAATTTATAATATAATCAATTTATGGTTCAGATTTTAACTAATTTATTCATAATTTACTGTTAATTTTTTTGTATAGTATTAATTTATATCAATATTAAAAAACCTTTGATTGAGTAAGTATAATGTTTGAAAATAATCTATCTATCTAATAAATTGTTGGACCTCCATAAATACATACACATTCTTGGGACCAAACTCTAACAAAATCCATTTAAAGATCAATAAGAGAAAGTGCATTTGTAGAGATTATATATATATGTATATGTATATATTTGAGCCAGAATTTGTATGTGTTATTTATAAAGGCTTTGCTCTTATAAGAGTACACTTATGAAGGTTTTACTGCAATACGATTGGGCATATTTTTAAATTTATTGGACATGGTTTAAATGTTCAATATAAATTAGATTTGTTTAAACATTGTTAATTTAAAATATATGTTGTAGATATATTTAGATTTCTGAATATTCTTAATTGGGCTTTGGATTTAGAATCATAATGTTTATTTTGCTTTTTGCATTATGTCGAATTTATGAAATTAAGCTAAAATTCGGTCACCAAGTCCAAGTCTCTGATTGTTAAAATTAAATTTTAGGCGCCAAATTACATATTAATAAATTGATACCGAATCTCTGAAAAATTTTTTTGGACCTCTGATCTATACTGATTAGTGTTCCGACCCGTTCACCCACGGGTGACCCATCGGGCTGATCCGGGTAGGCTGACGGGTATTCTGGGTATTCCCAGCCAATCGCTAATATTTGTTTACATCAGGTAAAATAGGATTGCTAAAGTTTAATATAACCTATTTTACCCGATGTAAATAAACATCAGCGATTGGCTGGGAATTCCAGGAATACCTATCAGTCTACCCGGATTAGCCCGACGGGTCACCCGCAGGTGAACGGGTCGAAACACTAATACTGATAACATGTCTAACCCATCTTCGTCACTTTTGACATATTACATTAATACATAAAATTTATTATATTAAATTTGTAGTCAAATTTTTAGATTTTGGGTTACTTAATAAATTTGTCATAATGTCTTTGATTGGTCAGAGATCTATGTTTTTTCAGTATCGACTGTTATTTTATTTAGTCTCAACTACTATGCTGCTAGATGCTCACTGCATCTGCATCCTCTGGATGCGAACCTTGTTTCTATTTAAAACTAATAAAAAAAAAAAGAGATCTACTTTTTGACTAAAATATTTTTATTGAGCTTTACATATCTAGTAACCCGGCGTGACACAATTTTTTACATAGTGAAAAATTAAAAAATCACATGTATTACACAATTGTTTACATCACATTGCTTATATAAATAATATTTTAAAAAATGGATCTACATTGTTTGTCACCGGGTAATTGTTGTGATCTACAAAAACGTGATTTTCTCTCCTTTTTATATGATAACTTATATTCGAATAGCATTATTGCGATTAAGATTCGACCAGGTCGAATGTAATATTCAGTCTTAATTCAGCCTATGAAATATCTTAATTCGATCTATGAAATTCATAGTCGAAATTAAAAATCGACATCTTACAGCTGTTCTCATAAATTTTGGGACAAACTAAAAAATTATCGTTTCCCGAAATCTCTTCGGTTTCGTCCTAAAGGTCACTTAACTCTTCGGAATCACGTCATTGATTTCGGAACTTCAGTCCGGAGATAGCGATGTATTTTAGATGATTCATAGGACGAAACCGAAGAGATTTCGGGAAATGAGCAATTTTTAGTTTGTCCCAGAATTTATGAGAACAGCTGTAAATTAAAAAATTTCGTCCGATTTTGTATATCGATATCAATTTTTAATTTCATAAAACTGAGTGAAACATTTGACCTAGTTTTGACTAGTGAATCTTGATATTCTCGCTGAAACAATATTTGATAAATTCATTAACGTAATACGTATGAATCTCGAATTATTCCAATTCTCACGTGTAACGTAAAAAATGTTTGGGTAAATGCATTTCATGCAACAACTTAAGGGTTTTTCCGAGGGCTTGGGTTGAAATTCGAAACTTTAAACTTTTACATGTGATGACGAATCGCGTGACTAGTATAAATAAATCGCTAATTCATCCAATTAAAATTAGTTACGATTCACGCTCATAAATATAAAGAGCGATCTTTTTTGAACTAGTTTGTTATTGTTATTTGAGAAATGGTTTACGAGTTTACTCTCACTTTACTATATGATGGTCTTATACAATTTGGTTCTCAAATATTATTTTTTGCTGTTGGCTGGATATTTTTAGTAAAGAAATTATTCAAGGATTATGAGTCCTCTACTGATCGTCGCGATGCCCAAGTCGTCCAGGCAATATTCTCACTTACGTTTAGTACTAGTTGCGCTCTATTTGAATTGATAATATTTGAGATTGGAGAGATAATGCATAAAGAGTAATTTAAAATCATATACTAAATTTTATTTATCATTTAAATTCCTATAAAATAAAAGAATTAATTAAATTCTTTCTTTTCAAAAATAATAAAAATAAATATTTGCATAGCTCAAGATGGTTTTGCTGGAAAGTGACTCTATATATATTACTCTTCCTTGTGATTATACTTATGCCATTTTATCAATTATATCTTATAATAACAAAAATACAAGAAAGTCCGTTGGTTTGAAATTTTGTAAATTTTTTTAAAAATCACTTCAATAATAAGGTTTATTACGACATTCATTAGATTCATCAATTAAAGGTTTACGATTGCGATATTCTATTGTAATTGTAATATTATGTTGGGCGACTTATTTCTATCTTTTCTGGAGAGTTGGTGACTTTTTTCCAATCGAAAAAACTGCTAGCACAACTGAAAAAAGTATGATACATTTTTTTCATCACAAAAATTTTAGAAATTTTATTATACTAATTTAAATTCACTTTTTAAATTCTTTTTTTTTTAAAGATGACTCTTCATCAAATCTTACCGATACAAAAGTTCCTCAAGGTGATGTTTTTATACAATTCGGTATGAGTCGTGTAGGTGTAATAGGTGTAACTATGATGGCTATATTATCGGGATTTGGTGCAGTGAATAGTCCATACGCCACACTATTTTTCTTTTTGAGGTGTGTTTCAATTTGATGCTCCAGAACATGTGTTCTTGAGATAATAAAAAATTATTTTAAACATTCATTTCAATTTTTTTATTAACCATTATAAAGTCGTATAATGTAGACAAGTCACTGACGCGGATATACAAGCTGCCGAAAAGAAATATCTTCAAACATTAGATATAATTATAAGTAAAAAAAGGCGCATTTTAATTTCTCAAGCGCGTCAAAGAGGTGCTGTAGAGGTAATATTTGGTTCATTAACTTGATCATAAACAAGATTAATCAAGATAAATCACTGATCCTTTATTTAAACAGCAAGGTTCTCGAGTTGGTGGATTTATGCGAAAAATGATTAATACAATGACCAACCATATGGGAATAGGTGGCGAAAGTACGTATTACGTTTATTAATTTCTATAGAATATTTATAAAACATACATCTATAAACGGTTTTATTTTTAATCATCATAATATTTTTGCATAAAAGATGTTGGAATGCTGCGTCAAGAAGTTGTTGGGTTAGAAAATCTTAGTCGCCAGTTATTTATAGATATCGATGATTTATACCAAGAACGGGTATACTATTTTTGTAATTATTTCGTTTATCTGCTTTTTATTATATTTTCTTTTGATCATTAATTTCGGAATAAACGTTAGGATCGTCTTCAATATTCAAAAACATGGCAAGGAAAATACTTTAATTTTATGGGTTATATTTTTTCTGTTTATTGTATATATAAAATAATTATGGTAATGTAAAAAAAGCATTTATTAATTCGTAATTCGTTATATAACAATTTCCGACTAGACTTATTTAATTTTTTTACATTATACAAGGCAACCGTTAACATCATTTTTTTCCGGATAGGAAAAACCGATCCGATAACTTATGGCTTGACATTAGCGATCAGATATATAAAAATTGATTTAAATGTCGATTTTTGGTCCCAACAATTGAGTTTCTTTTTTGTTGGACTCATGATCATTTTTTCTATTCGCGGATTACTTATACAATTATTAAAAGTTTGTTTAATTTTTCATAATTCAATTTTTCATGATCATTTAATGATTTAACTATTTCTTATTCGATTTTATTTTTACAGTTTTTTCGAGCTGTTTCAAATTCAGTATCGCGAAATGACATTGTCTTGTTATTGGCACAAATAATGGGAATGTACTTTCTAAGTGCATTCTTAATGATGAGAATGTCGCTACCCGTGATATATAGAAATACAATAACTAGTCTTTTAGGGTCAATAGAATTCAATTTCTATCATCGATGGTTTGATGTAATATTCCTTGTGAGTGGATTAGCGAGTGTAGTTTTATTATACTTTGTTCATCAGGCAAATAATAGTAATGTTATGCTTTCCTCTGCTTCAATGAGTTCCATATCAACTGGGTCAAGTGGAGGATCGTCTACTACTCCAACTAGTGATTACTCATCTAATTATTCTCCTAATTATTCACCTCCTGGTATGGGAAATTCTTTTAATAATAAGATAGGTGATTGGGAACATGCAAGCGGTGCTAGCAGATGGGTTAATACTGGAAATACTGGACTACATCACCGTGACTAACATTGTCTTTTATAATATTAATTGTAATTTCACTATTAATTTTTTGAAATAAAATAAAGCATTTTGGCATAGAATATTCATTTGTAAATTCTAGTTAACCAAAAAATTTTCGATATATACACATATAAACATATATATTTTTTTAGTAGGCATTGATTATTTGGTTGGCGATATTTAATTAAAAGAAACAAAACAATCAATATGCACCGGTTACATCGGGGTTGAAAAGAAACACTATTCAAAGCTCACCCAATGTTAATATAATAATGAACATTTTATATTAACATGTTTTTAAATCGATTAGAATTTTTGAGCTTCAGTTTATTATTACTTTTGTGGCGGTGGTGGTTGTTGTTCTTCTTCGACGTCTAAGCCAAGTAATTCATTCCTTTTTTGGGCTTGGCGATTAGCACGACGTTCACGAGCAGCTTTAGCCTTTTGGCGATGTGCTTCGGCTTGATCACTAAATACATATATATATATATATAGTATATAAAATTATCATTTGTTGATCGGGAGATGGAATCATCAAGGTAATCGGTAATATATACGTACGCGAGGTGCTTAATACGAACTCTTTCGGCTTTAGCCTTATGAATGTATTCCATCAAAACACGCTTGTTTTTGAAAACGTTACCTTTAGCCTTCATATACAATTGATGGTACCTTTATAAAATATAACAATAATGATCAGAAAAAAAATATCTCATGTAATATCGACGATTAAAAGTAGAATAAAATACATACAAATGCTTTTCGATTTTACCCGATTCACGGTACTTTCTTAATAATCTTCTTAATACACGTTGCCTTCTCATCCATAACACGCTAGTAGGCATACGAGCATTGGCAGTACCTTTTCTTTTACCGGGACCAGTATGTCGACCTTTACGTTTGGCTTCCAATTTTTCTCTAACACGAAAACGGGAATGAATAATTTGCGGTTTCTTGATGATTAAACCATCTTTTACAAGTTTTCGAATATTTTGACCTGTATTATTCATTAAATAGAGATGATATGAATTATTATGCACATAAACATTTAACCCTTTAATTATTTATTGTTTAATATTATTTGATATTTTTTGATGCAACGAATAACACCACCAGATCGATCATCAATTCTTTTTTTTTCAACATTCATTATCAAGAACATCACTTGCATTCGTAATTATTATCCAGTAAGAAAATGTGCCATTAAAAGCGATTTTAAAATAATTACTTACGAGAGTTTGCATTAGAGATTTCAGTTACTTCGTTTGGATCGAGCCAAACTTTCCTTTTACCACAGCCAAGTACACTAGCTGCCAACCTTTTCTGACTACTCAAGTTCACCCTTTATAAAAATGGTCCAGTACCAATACATAAAGTAAGAATAGAACAATTAAATTCTTGTATTCATTTACAATTATTATCAACTAATCTTACATTATGAATAGAGCAATTGTCAGATTCTTTTAGTGGAAGGAAAATTATAATCAAAATTTTCATGTTTTTATTCACTTTTCTTGGATAGGATGTGATTGGTCAGAAAATATACTCTGCGCCAAGATCAAAATTTCTCATGATCACATATTCCAGTATTCACATATCTGTATATAGGGGTTACTTCAATTTTTAATTTTTATACATTAATCGAAAACTCTATCAATGACAGCCCCTCAAAATCCCATTACAAGAGCCATTTGGGATGGAACATTACCCATCAAGTTTTCTCTTGATAGCACAGAAGCAGCTGCATTGGGTGCCAAAGCTATAGTAGAACCTTATTTTGTAAGTTGATTTTCAAGTATTCAAGATCTCAGTACCTACTAAAATTTTGATCGATTTTAACAAATCAAACTGCTTTTATACAGATAGAAGCACCACGATGCTCATACTTTCCTTTGTGGACGAGTCAAATAAGAAAGTATTTTGTGGATATGGCACTTAATTTCATTGGAGACGATGCGGAAATATGGTATGACGTTGACGGAACTCCACTGAAATGGTAAGATATAGGTTTTTTATTTGTTTTTTTTTTCTTTTTCATTATTGCTATAGAAAGGGGCTTGTGAATTTCAATTTTTAATTAATGTGATGGGGATTAAAGGCATTATCCTATAGGCTTATTGTATGATTTACATACTGGATATCGGCCAGATTCTAATAGTCCGCCACCTTTACCTTGGCCCGTAACAGTTCATTTCAAAAATTTTCCTACAGATAAATTGATAAAAGCACAAGCTATTGATGCAACGCAAGATTTTTTCATGTCAATGATTAAGGAAGTAGGTTTTCGTGAATTCCTGAATCATATCTCATATTAATCAATTAAGCTCATTCTATTTTTCTTTTCTGTTTTATAAGGCCGATTTTCTAAGGAATGGAAGCACAAAGAAGGTGATGAATTTATCAAAAAATGACCAAACACAGCTTTGGGATGGGCTGTGGTCTAGTATCCTAACTACAATTTTGTCAATGCTCATACAATAAGAATATTTTAACTATCTAAAATTAAAAATCATTTATGCCTTAACTCTAATTATTTTTTCGTTAAAAATACCGTACAGAGAATTACGATAAATTCTGGAGTGTGAATTACCGCCTTGTTATTAACGATGGACAAATGCCAAAACATGTTCCAATGCGAATATATTTGCCTGATAATTGTCCCGTTATACAGGAACCAATCTCTCCAATTGATGAAAATGGTAAATAACTATTTTAAAATAATTTCATTCTTTTAAATTTAAATATTTTCTATTTATTTAATGGTTATTATAAACTGTGATTAGGAAATCAACTTACATTAGGAGATGTATTACATCAAGTCCTTCCAGAGTTATTCCCATCTCCTTTGCCTAGTGAGAACGCATCTGCTGCTCCAGTTCCAGTAATTCATGGAATTATTCCACAATTAGAAATACCCATAGTATGGGCATCACAAAATCTTTGCTATCCTGACAATTTCTTGCACATTGTTGTTCTCTTAGGGATATAATATTAGCGTTGTTTTCACTTTTAATTCTTATTAATATTAGTTAGTTATATTTAATACATGAGCTGGTGTGAAGTAGATTTGATTCTGGAAAGTATTGAATGAATGGTAAATTGATAATATTCATGGTTTTAATACTTTTTCGTGTCTGATCTCTTTCACTATTCTCAACCGGATAGATTTTAGTTTAAACTTAGACTTATCTAGGTTTTTTGATTAACTTCAATGCTTAAAAATTTTTTATTATTTGATACGGTGTAGAATAATTTGATAATATGCAGATTAATTAACTTTGCACATTTTATTAAATGGTATGTGAAAAGCAGTATTAATTTTTTCAATTAAAATTTACTTTGCGGATACCGCACAATTCATAAATTTTTCTGTGCGGCAAATAAAAAAAAAGACTACTAAAAATGTTTGCAATACTTACAAATGTCAATTTGTTCTGTGCGGTATTTATTCAAAAAAAAATGTGCGCACAGTCCGCATAGTGATAAATAATTACTGGTGAAAAGTATTAATATCGATATTATTTATAATTAAACTTGTTGGTATTTTGTATTTATTAAGATGCTGATAAAATAGATTCACTATATTGGTAAAATTAATAAGACTAATTTTATAAAACTAGCATTTTTAGTATTTTAAGCAACAAAAATTATACTTATTGTGTAAATAACTCAAAAATTCAACAATTTTGAGCTACAGTACACTCTCCCAAAACCGATCCTGTAAAAATCGATAACCTGCTATAACTGATAAAAAATTGATCCACCATGTCTGTTCCATAATTCAAACCCGATAACCTGCCATTTCTGATAACCAATACCCAAAAGATCAGATACCGATTTAACAATACGTTTAACCCATTTTTCCCATTAGCGCAAACCATGTACAGTACGTACGAATGTACATCGTCAGTAACATTGACAGTATTTTATGGACAGAAAATTTAAAAAGTATATCGTCGTTATATCAGAATAATAACATTACATATATGTGAAGTCAATTAAATGACTCAATCTTCGCTGGAAAATATTTTTTAAAAAAATTTAGAAGCTTATCATTTCGAAAAATTACCAAACAATTAGTTTAGCATATCTTTTATAAGTCAGGTTCTTAATCACTTTCAAAAATATGGACGTATTGAAAAGTTTCCGTCACTTTCAGAACCACGTTCACTGAACCACAATCCGAGATGGAACTCTTGTTAGACATTATGACAATTTGAAGGGCTACGAACCAACTTGCAACTTGTATATACAAATAAAAGTAA